GGCATTTTCTGAGTGTAACAGCCGACTTTTTAAAGAATGTGAAGCGTGGTCACGACCTTCCTCAGGAATAAGGGTTTGAGTGACACTGAGGAAAAATGGCCCGCAGAAGTGACTGCTCTGACCTGAGTCAGTAGATGAATCATTTGCTTCTCAGTGAGGAAGTGTGGGTATCAGAGAATGAGCCTGTAAAAACCCCCAATGCAAAGCTGCCCCTACGCCTGCACCTCCCTCCCCACCTGCAGGTGGTGCTTCCCAAACAGCCAACTCTCAGTAACTATTATCTCTTAACTCTGAGGGGGTGGAGGGTAAAGGCCTCTGGGTATGAAAACCTCACCTTCAGGAAAAACAAACGAACTCAATGCATAACCCCCACCCCCAACCCCAAGTAAACCACTGACTTAATGTTAAAACATGAGCTCCTGGTGTGGAAGGAATATCTTGTGTCTGACTGTCCATTCTCTCTAATGCTCAAGATAGCCCTTCAAGGTGAATTACACCCATTTTACAGATGAGGAAACCCAGGCCTGGACGAAATCCATGCCCAGGGTTCCAGTAAGGCCACCAGGGAGCCAGAATCAAGGCAACCTCTCGACTTCAAAGCCCAACATGCAGCCAGTGAAGTGAGGCAGTCTTCCCCGAGGAGAAGTAGCTCCCACCCCAAGGAGTCACACGATTCAGATCTGGGGTCCAGGTCACTCACCCTGCAGAGGACACAAGGACACTTGCTGGCCAGGGGTGACGCAGCCTGAGCCCCAAGGACAACAGCAACCCTGGGCTTCCCCTCTCATCATATTAAAACAGCCGACTTTATTCCACACTGCTCAACCCATAACGCAAGAGGCAACTGAAACACCATTTCTGTCCAGCGGTTTCCTTCGGGGGCTGTCCCTGCCTGCTCACAGATGTGATCAGGTCCAGGCCAGACCAATAGCCATCTTCAGCAGAAGCAGGGATAAAGAGGTCCTCCCACCCCATGGACCAATTTAAAAAGAATGGTTCTAAGATGATGAAAACTTGGTTTCTTGGTTTGGAGGTTTAGGGTCATGGTTTCACGGGACATCCCAGTTAACTGGCCTAATATCATGTTTACTGCTTCTGTTCTATCTCTCAGTTCATTATGTAGTGCCTGGGGTCTTAAAAGCTTGCAAGCAGCCATCCATGGTATAACAGTTGGTCTCTACTCGCCTGCAGCAACAGAGGAAGAAAGAGAGCTAGGAATAGGAGGAAATGGAATGTGTGGCTAATTGCCTCCATGAACAACTAACTCTCTTT